CTGCACCAGAGGGATGGTGCTAAAGCTGTCCTTGACACCTACACAGCACACTGAGAAAATAAAAGCCTTGTTAAAGTCACATTGGACAGGTCCCTTGTGGGCCATACCAGGATGATATACATGTTGAGCTGGATGTTTAAGGCTGTCAGGATCTCACAAATTAGTTGAATACAGATTTATGTTTGTTAGGTCTTTATAAAGCATGAGAATTTATGGAAAAATGCATCCGGCCACAAAATCTACAGCACAACTGAAGGCAAAAAGCTGCTGAAAATCTCATAAGGATGATATATTTTATAGCCTTCGTTACCCCGAAGCAGATTTAAATCAGTCATTACATTTATACAAACTTCATCTAAAGTTATAGTTTGATTAGTAACTAAAACTACTATCCTCTTCCCACTGTGCAAGCATCAGGCAAGAACTGATACATAAGTATAATCGCCTTCACTACTCTTGTTGGTCCTATGAAGTCACATACCAAAACAATCAACAAACAAGTTAGTAAGAGGACAACTGGTTGTCTCTGTAGCAGTGAAAACGCATGCATGTTGACAGCTCACAACAGCTTTGTTATTCTAAATATATCCTATCCCAATACCTTTGCATTTTTATTGTTACATGCAATTTGTGGAGCATGTGCAGAATGCTTGGGCCAATTTGAGTCTGATCAGGGTGTATGCACAACAAAGAAAAATGATCCCCAACCCATGATCGTGGTATCGTGGTGTGACTACAAGAAATTTGACTTGCTTCCCACAAATATTTCTGCAATTTTAAAGTCAAAGACAAATTTCCAAAGTTGGAATGAAACCATGGCTGAAGCTGGAGTGCGCTCCCTGATCGCAAAGGGGCTGGGACAGATTTAGGGAATTCTTTTGTGACCGAGCGCCATTAAACGCCCCATCATTCCCCGACTGGTGCGGGTCTCCCCTCGTGGCCTGAGAGTGCGGGTGTTTTCCCGAGAATTGCATGCACCTCGCAGAAAGGCGCACCGATTATGGAAGAGTGGGCAAAATAGCGTTTCCGTGAGGTGCGTGCAATCCTCGGCGGGCACGCGTTTCTTGGCAAAACACCAAGGGTGCGCATGGAGCGCACTCGTTCCCCGCGAGCCGAGCTCCGTCAAACTGTTTAACTGTTTCCCCGCACCTGTGTCCCGCAGTCCTGCACTCTAACCAACTGTTCCCCTTTTTATCTGGACTCTTTTCTCCCCACTGTAGGCGTTTGAGGGTGCAAACTCGACAACTACACGCCACACAAACATACACCCACTTACCTGCTGCCATCCTACAAGTCAAACCGATACTTCCTGATTCCTCAGTAAATAGCGCAAGGTGGCGCGCTTTTGGGGGGTCATGTGACCGCCGGACCATACCAGATTTACTGTGTTTCCAAGGAGTAAGGTCATAGCGGTATGGGGGGCTATTAGTGCCCTTCTGTCTATGTTAAAATGTATGATTTATTGAGGTGTTTGTATTGTATTTTGCATATGGCATCTTAAACCCCTATAATTTGTTTATGGATGCGCCCAAGAGAGGGGCTGGGGGGGTTGAAGCAAGGCTGCCGAGGCCTCCCTTGGAGTGTGGAGTTGGTGGCGAGGAAGGTAATTGCAGAACTGATTTTTATTGTATTGCTGTTGTGTTGCTGATTATTTTTCTTTAGCAAAAGTTGTTGTAGAACTCTTCCCTTGCTGGCATTGTATTTTCTTTCCTTGTACAAAATCTTTTGTAAATAGTACTTTGATCATTTTTGCACCTTTTTGTAATTATTATTGCACTGAACCTTGGGAAGCTAGCTCAGATTGCTCAATGATTTGAAAACTGTCAACAACCATGCACTCTTGTCAGACCCTAAACGGGAGCAAAAGAAACATGACGAGAAGGCAAACAAATGTCAGCATTATTTTTACCTCAGCAAATTATGCCATGTAAGGTTGTACCTTCTTAGTAAACCCTTCAGTGTAAATCTTAGCTTTTTGATTTAGAGGCACAACATGATTTCCTTGATCCACTGCATAAAGGCGGAGGGACAGGCAGCCTGCTATCTAACAAGGATAAATCTCTGTGCTAACAGTGATGTAAATGCAATTGGGTTCGATTGGTAGGAGATAATAACCTCCCTGTTTGGAGGTACACCAAACAATGCCATAAAAGATTCAGGACTCATTATCCCAGGTATTTTTGATATACTCTTTAAAGGGTCTTTTTTCAATGATAGAGGATTTATGTGTTGAATTTGATTATAAATTCTTGAAACCTGACCGTTAATGGTAGATTCAGACTGATTCAGAGGGAAGTTTGGTCTGAGAAATGGAAACGTTGAGTTTTATTTCACAAAGATACTGCGAGCCTGTCAGTACCCAGAAAAATAGAAGCTAGAAACATCAAAATTGTTAATTAAAGCATTGAAAGTGAAAAATGAGTCATTAAAAAAACACTGTGCCCTCTCCATGCCATAATCTGTGTTCATTAAAGCTAGAGGAATCAGGAGGTTCAAGAGGTATGTGTGGAGTTGACCAGCATGTCAGATCTGATGTGGTCTTGAACTCTGCTTGAAAGTATGAGTAATTTGTACCCCAAGATATTTAAAATTCTCTAGCTCCACTTTAAATGGGAAGTGGGAATAGGTGACATGGCAAACTGACTAACAGGGAAGAGTAGGCTTTTTATAAAGTTTAGTTTTATCCATAAAATTGTCCCATTGATTCCCAAATAATGGATTTTAAAATTCCTGGAGTATTAATAATTTCTAAAAATTAACAAGGTTATTGTCAGCATGGCTGCTAAGGTCATTTAAAAAAAATAAAAGCAGAAAAAATGCAGCCCAATATCGATGCCAGTCTTGAGTCTGTCTCCTTACGATGACTTATGCTACTTTGATAGCAATTTTACCACTTAATTTAACAAATTTTATAAAAGCAATGTTTCCACACCTAGCAGTATACAAACAGTGACAAGTAATATGACAAAGTGCATAAGCATGATGGTCTGTAAACTCCTGTACTGCATGTACTATAATGGCAAAAATGGCAGAGTTAGTGGACTGAACTGACCAGAGATTTTTAAATTTGAGGACTTATTTATTTACTGATTTAAGACTTGTTTATTTTGCATTTAGAGTCTGACCTCATCACTTCCTGCTAGCATTCACTGGGTTTATCTCAGCAGGCATTAGACACCAATTACAATAAACTTCCCCCCCTTGCTGGCAAACTCTACACAAGGATGCTGTGGTTGTGAAGCAAAGCTTTTTAATGCAACATTTAGTAAAATGACAGCTATTTAAGTAACAGTGGCCACTCTGTCCTGCCATTATATGTTAGAGTTTGCAAGAAAGCAGAAGTAAAGCAGGAAAAAGTGAGGGGGTAAAGAACAAATGAGGTTATTTGAACACTGGTGTAGGACTAAGGTGGTCAGATTGGGGAAAAAGACTTGCAGCGACATAAATAACTAAACAATCGTCCAAGAGGAACTGGTTAACTCTTGTCCTGAAAATGTAAGGCAAGGTCAGGCTTTGTTAGAGCTTCAGCCAGCACCCTGATCTAATCCCCTGAGCAGACTGAACTGTAGCCCCAAAAACAATATATATTGTACATGAGATGCAAACTTGCTGAATGACAAACACACAAGGAAACAATCCAAAACAGCAACACACTTGAAAGAAATTACACAACACTAATTCAGCACAATACAACACAGTCAATATCCGGCACAAGAGTGAGCATATTTCACAACTGTCCAAATAACAATGTACCATGACAGCAACATCAAGTAGAAACAAAAGCAAAGTTCAGAAAAACAACATTAAATCAAGATTATTTCCAACTGCTAAGTAAAAATGACCGGAAGACTGAAGCAACGAATACAAGAGTTTGTTTAGCAAGGGCAAGCAGCATGTTAGCGAATCACATCAATGAAAACATAGCCATGGGATAACACAGCAGTTAAGTCTGTAGGAACACTAATTGCTGCTTTTATTCATAAGGGTAGAGTTATCATGCATCGTCCTTTCACTTGATGTGAAAATAAGGCTGAGGGGTTGAACAACTTCATGTGGAGGCCACTTTAATGACAGAAACAAGGATGCATTCAGAGTAAAAATAAATTGACTAGCTCTACTTTAAATGGGAAGTGGGAATAGGTGACATGACAAACTGACTAACAGGGAAGAGTAGGCTTTTTATTAAGTTTAGTTTTATCCAGAAAATTGTCCCATGGATTCCCAAATAATGGATTTTAAAATGCCTGGAGTATTAATAATTTCTAAAATTAACAAGGTTATTGTTAGCATGGCTGCTAGAGTCAGTTAAAAAAAAATCAAAAGCAGAAAAAAAATGCATTCAGTTCCAAACAAACAGCAAGATGAAGTTGGTGAAGGAATGAACGATAAAGTCTAAACTTTAGGTGGCCTTTCACAGTCAGGATGTGCAAACAACATTCGCAAGGTAACAACATTCCTCAATCAGACAAATAAAGACAGTTTTACCTTTGATTGCAAAAAAGCAGAATATATATATATATGTATATATTCTGCTTTTTTGCAACATATACTGTATATATATATATATATATATATATATATATATATATATATATATATATATATCCTGTCAACAATGGTTACTGTTTTTCTGCCTTCAGGAGCGGGGATGTTCTCTATGACAAACACTTTGAGGTTGAGAGACACCTTAGCCAAAGCTTACACATGCCTCCCTTACACAGGTTCAAGTTTGAACAGAATCCCTGCCAGTCGGCTGTGTGGGTTGCTTCATCCAGGGCAACTTTCTGCCAAAGGTCCAGTCCAAAGCTAGCTGTCAGTGGGATTTATAACAAAAGAAAAAAAAACCCTCATCCTTTATGGCAAAAGTGGTACAGTGGTGTGCATAGCTTCCTTCTGAGCAGTTGACCCGGCCCGTGGTACCAGCTTCTGTGACGGAACTCTTCCCCCAGAGCATACAATTGAGTTATGGCACCCTTTCCGATGTGTTGCAGGTGATCAGCATGAGGATGTTATGCAAGCCCAAGGTAAATTTTTGTGTCAGCCAGACAGACAGACTGAGCACCGCACATATGTATTCTGTTTGGCTGTGGTCAGTTGTCTACGGTATTGACAGCGCTGCTAATGAACAGTGGGAGAGTTTACGTACACATCCCATTTGGAGCAGGCGTGCTTGTGGAGCAGTTCTGTGTTTCCTATGACTGTGCAGTCTGCAGGGGGGATGTAGCTCAGTGGTAGAGCGCATGCTTTGCATGTATGAGGTCCCGGGTTCAATCCCCGGCATCTCCACATGTGTTGGGGCTCAGCCTTCATACAATTGATTGCCCACGCAGGCAAGTAGCGACAACCAGAAAAAGAGATGCAGATGCAAAGAAGACAGTGGGTGTCTTGTTTCCTCATGCCTGTCTGTCATGCCTGGCTGACTGAAATGGACTTCAAGCTGTTTGTCGTGCCTCATACTCCTCCTCCTACCAATACCTGATTCTTTGAAGAAAAGGGATTTTTGCTCAAACCAAACGTCCCCCTCGAGGGCCCAGACTTGGTGTAAATGGAAAATTGCACATGGGAGGGGTTGTTGTGGCCGAGTGGTTAAGGCGATGGACTAGAAATCCATTGGGGTCTCCCCGCGCAGGTTCGAATCCTGCCAACAACGGTCAGTTTTTTCTGCCTTCGGGAGCGGTGATGTAGGAATGTTAGTCAAAGACATGTTGGTATTAGTTGTAGCAGGACACAGCAGCCACCGCAGAGCCTGCATTTCTTCCCAGTGTGCCTTGCCCGACGCCTTGTCTCTGGTGGACTTGAGGGCTGGTTTTCAGGCGATGGTGGTATAGTGGTAAGCATAGCTGCCTTCCAAGCAGTTGACCCGGGTTCGATTCCCGGCCATCGCAATAGACTTCAATGAATAACTGGCCGGTCAGGAAGTCAGGCATCTTTTCAACTTGGTGGTCGTGGTTTCGTTTTGTTGACGTCTAGAATGGCGACTTTGGCATCCCCTGCTTCTCTTTCAGAGTAAAAGACATTCGGATGCCAGGATTACATAGTGGCTCCCCATAATAATGCAACACAAAAGTCTTTGTGGTGAAACGTGGCATACTTCTGGGCTCTTGACTTTCCATCTCCCTTGCTGTGCGATCCTGCGGGACCTTAAACTCACAATTTCCTTCACAAGGGGTGTCCCTGAGACCTTCTGTTTGGTTGGCAGACTCCAAGTGCGCACTGCTGTCAGTGGGGGAGGGGCATTTAGCAGAGGGTGGGGGGTTGTCGTGGCCGAGTGTTCAAGGCGATGGACTTGAAATCCATTGGGGTCTCCCCGCGCAGGTTCGAATCCTGCCGGCAACGTTGTCTTTGTCTTGTGAACATCAGACTGTCCAAGTTGGGTCGTGACAGGTTAAGTTGCTCAGATAAGCCTTGTGTTGCTGAGGACTGCACAGCCATTCACACCTCTCGCCGTGTGAACGGGATGAGTCCGCTAGTTGGCCTTTCACCGACTCAATTGAGGTAAATTTTTGTGTCAGCCAGACAGACAGACTGAGCACAGCACATATGTATTCTGTTTGGCTGTGGTCAGTTGTCTACGGTATTGACAGCGCTGCTAATGAACAGTGGGAGAGTTTACGTACACTTCCCATTTGGAGCAGGCGTGCTTGTGGAGCAGTTCTGTGTTTCCTATGACTGTGCAGTCTGCAGGGGGGATGTAGCTCAGTGGTAGAGCGCATGCTTTGCATGTATGAGGTCCCGGGTTCAATCCCCGGCATCTCCACATGTGTTGGGGCTCAGCCTTCATACAATTGAGTGCCCACGCAGGCAAGTAGCGACAACCAGAAAAAGAGATGCAGATGCAAAGAAGACAGTGGGTGTCTTGTTTCCTCAGGACGCATGTCTGTCATGCCTGGCTGACTGAAATGGACTTCAAGCTGTTTGTCGTGCCTCATACTCCTCCTCCTACCAATACCTGATTCTTTGAAGAAAAGGGATTTTTGCTCAAACCAAACGTCCCCCTCGAGGGCCCAGACTTGGTGTAAATGGAAAATTGCACATGGGAGGGGTTGTTGTGGCCGAGTGGTTAAGGCGATGGACTAGAAATCCATTGGGGTCTCCCCGCGCACGTTCGAATCCTGCCAACAACGGTCAGTTTTTTCTGCCTTCGGGAGCGGTGATGTAGGAATGTTAGTCAAAGACATGTTGGTATTAGTTGTAGCAGGACACAGCAGCCACCGCAGAGCCTGCATTTCTTCCCAGTGTGCCTTGCCCGACGCCTTGTCTCTGGTGGACTTGAGGGCTGGTTTTCAGGCGATGGTGGTATAGTGGTAAGCATAGCTGCCTTCCAAGCAGTTGACCCGGGTTCGATTCCCGGCCATCGCAATAGACTTCAATGAATAACTGGCCGGTCAGGAAGTCAGGCATCTTTTCAACTTGGTGGTCGTGGTTTCGTTTTGTTGACGTCTAGAATGGCGACTTTGGCATCCCCTGCTTCTCTTTCAGAGTAAAAGACATTCGGATGCCAGGATTACATAGTGGCTCCCCATAATAATGCAACACAAAAGTCTTTGTGGTGAAACGTGGCATACTTCTTGGCTCTTGACTTTCCATCTCCCTTGCTGTGCGATCCTGCGGGACCTTAAACTCACAATTTCCTTCACAAGGGGTGTCCCTGTGACCTTCTGTTTGGTTGGCAGACTCCAAGTGCGCACTGCTGTCAGTGGGGGAGGGGCATTTAGCAGAGGGTGGGCGGTTGTCGTGGCCGAGTGGTCAAGGCGATGGACTTGAAATCCATTGGGGTCTCCCCGCGCAGGTTCGAATCCTGCCGGCAACGTTGTCTTTGTCTTGTGAACATCAGACTGTCCAAGTTGGATCGTGACAGGTTAAGTTGCTCAGATAAGCCTTGTGTTGCTGAGGACTGCACAGCCATTCACACCTCTCGCCGTGTGAACGGGATGAGTCCGCTAGTTGGCCTTTCACCGACTCAATTGAGGTAAATTTTTGTGTCAGCCAGACAGACAGACTGAGCACAGCACATATGTATTCTGTTTGGCTGTGGTCAATTGTCTACGGTATTGACAGCGCTGCTAATGAACAGTGGGAGAGTTTACGTACACTTCCCATTTGGAGCAGGCGTGCTTGTGGAGCAGTTCTGTGTTTCCTATGACTGTGCAGTCTGCAGGGGGGATGTAGCTCAGTGGTAGAGCGCATGCTTTGCATGTATGAGGTCCCGGGTTCAATCCCCGGCATCTCCACATGTGTTGGGGCTCAGCCTTCATACAATTGAGTGCCCACGCAGGCAAGTAGCGACAACCAGAAAAAGAGATGCAGATGCAAAGAAGACAGTGGGTGTCTTGTTTCCTCAGGACGCATGTCTGTCATGCCTGGCTGACTGAAATGGACTTCAAGCTGTTTGTCGTGCCTCATACTCCTCCTCCTACCAATACCTGATTCTTTGAAGAAAAGGGATTTTTGCTCAAACCAAACGTCCCCCTCGAGGGCCCAGACTTGGTGTAAATGGAAAATTGCACATGGGAGGGGTTGTTGTGGCCGAGTGGTTAAGGCGATGGACTAGAAATCCATTGGGGTCTCCCCGCGCACGTTCGAATCCTGCCAACAACGGTCAGTTTTTTCTGCCTTCGGGAGCGGTGATGTAGGAATGTTAGTCAAAGACATGTTGGTATTAGTTGTAGCAGGACACAGCAGCCACCGCAGAGCCTGCATTTCTTCCCAGTGTGCCTTGCCCGACGCCTTGTCTCTGGTGGACTTGAGGGCTGGTTTTCAGGCGATGGTGGTATAGTGGTAAGCATAGCTGCCTTCCAAGCAGTTGACCCGGGTTCGATTCCCGGCCATCGCAATAGACTTCAATGAATAACTGGCCGGTCAGGAAGTCAGGCATCTTTTCAACTTGGTGGTCGTGGTTTCGTTTTGTTGACGTCTAGAATGGCGACTTTGGCATCCCCTGCTTCTCTTTCAGAGTAAAAGACATTCGGATGCCAGGATTACATAGTGGCTCCCCATAATAATGCAACACAAAAGTCTTTGTGGTGAAACGTGGCATACTTCTGGGCTCTTGACTTTCCATCTCCCTTGCTGTGCGATCCTGCGGGACCTTAAACTCACAATTTCCTTCACAAGGGGTGTCCCTGTGACCTTCTGTTTGGTTGGCAGACTCCAAGTGCGCACTGCTGTCAGTGGGGGAGGGGCATTTAGCAGAGGGTGGGGGGTTGTCGTGGCCGAGTGGTCAAGGCGATGGACTTGAAATCCATTGGGGTCTCCCCGCGCAGGTTCGAATCCTGCCGGCAACGTTGTCTTTGTCTTGTGAACATCAGACTGTCCAAGTTGGATCGTGACAGGTTAAGTTGCTCAGATAAGCCTTGTGTTGCTGAGGACTGCACAGCCATTCACACCTCTCGCCGTGTGAACGGGATGAGTCCGCTAGTTGGCCTTTCACCGACTCAATTGAGGTAAATTTTTGTGTCAGCCAGACAGACAGACTGAGCACAGCACATATGTATTCTGTTTGGCTGTGGTCAATTGTCTACGGTATTGACAGCGCTGCTAATGAACAGTGGGAGAGTTTACGTACACTTCCCATTTGGAGCAGGCGTGCTTGTGGAGCAGTTCTGTGTTTCCTATGACTGTGCAGTCTGCAGGGGGGATGTAGCTCAGTGGTAGAGCGCATGCTTTGCATGTATGAGGTCCCGGGTTCAATCCCCGGCATCTCCACATGTGTTGGGGCTCAGCCTTCATACAATTGAGTGCCCACGCAGGCAAGTAGCGACAACCAGAAAAAGAGATGCAGATGCAAAGAAGACAGTGGGTGTCTTGTTTCCTCAGGACGCATGTCTGTCATGCCTGGCTGACTGAAATGGACTTCAAGCTGTTTGTCGTGCCTCATACTCCTCCTCCTACCAATACCTGATTCTTTGAAGAAAAGGGATTTTTGCTCAAACCAAACGTCCCCCTCGAGGGCCCAGACTTGGTGTAAATGGAAAATTGCACATGGGAGGGGTTGTTGTGGCCGAGTGGTTAAGGCGATCGACTAGAAATCCATTGGGGTCTCCCCGCGCAGGTTCGAATCCTGCCAACAACGGTCAGTTTTTTCTGCCTTCGGGAGCGGTGATGTAGGAATGTTAGTCAAAGACATGTTGGTATTAGTTGTAGCAGGACACAGCAGCCACCGCAGAGCCTGCATTTCTTCCCAGTGTGCCTTGCCCGACGCCTTGTCTCTGGTGGACTTGAGGGCTGGTTTTCAGGCGATGGTGGTATAGTGGTAAGCATAGCTGCCTTCCAAGCAGTTGACCCGGGTTCGATTCCCGGCCATCGCAATAGACTTCAATGAATAACTGGCCGGTCAGGAAGTCAGGCATCTTTTCAACTTGGTGGTCGTGGTTTCGTTTTGTTGACGTCTAGAATGGCGACTTTGGCATCCCCTGCTTCTCTTTCAGAGTAAAAGACATTCGGATGCCAGGATTACATAGTGGCTCCCCATAATAATGCAACACAAAAGTCTTTGTGGTGAAACGTGGCATACTTCTGGGCTCTTGACTTTCCATCTCCCTTGCTGTGCGATCCTGCGGGACCTTAAACTCACAATTTCCTTCACAAGGGGTGTCCCTGTGACCTTCTGTTTGGTTGGCAGACTCCAAGTGCGCACTGCTGTCAGTGGGGGAGGGGCATTTAGCAGAGGGTGGGGGGTTGTCGTGGCCGAGTGGTCAAGGCGATGGACTTGAAATCCATTGGGGTCTCCCCGCGCAGGTTCGAATCCTGCCGGCAACGTTGTCTTTGTCTTGTGAACATCAGACTGTCCAAGTTGGATCGTGACAGGTTAAGTTGCTCAGATAAGCCTTGTGTTGCTGAGGACTGCACAGCCATTCACACCTCTCGCCGTGTGAACGGGATGAGTCCGCTAGTTGGCCTTTCACCGACTCAATTGAGGTAAATTTTTGTGTCAGCCAGACAGACAGACTGAGCACAGCACATATGTATTCTGTTTGGCTGTGGTCAATTGTCTACGGTATTGACAGCGCTGCTAATGAACAGTGGGAGAGTTTACGTACACTTCCCATTTGGAGCAGGCGTGCTTGTGGAGCAGTTCTGTGTTTCCTATGACTGTGCAGTCTGCAGGGGGGATGTAGCTCAGTGGTAGAGCGCATGCTTTGCATGTATGAGGTCCCGGGTTCAATCCCCGGCATCTCCACATGTGTTGGGGCTCAGCCTTCATACAATTGAGTGCCCACGCAGGCAAGTAGCGACAACCAGAAAAAGAGGTGCAGATGCAAAGAAGACAGTGTGTGTCTTGTTTCCTCAGGACGCATGTCTGTCATGCCTGGCTGACTGAAATGGACTTCAAGCTGTTTGTCGTGCCTCATACTCCTCCTCCTACCAATACCTGATTCTTTGAAGAAAAGGGATTTTTGCTCAAACCAAACGTCCCCCTCGAGGGCCCAGACTTGGTGTAAATGGAAAATTGCACATGGGAGGGGTTGTTGTGGCCGAGTGGTTAAGGCGATGGACTAGAAATCCATTGGGGTCTCCCCGCGCAGGTTCGAATCCTGCCAACAACGGTCAGTTTTTTCTGCCTTCGGGAGCGGTGATGTAGGAATGTTAGTCAAAGACATGTTGGTATTAGTTGTAGCAGGACACAGCAGCCACCGCAGAGCCTGCATTTCTTCCCAGTGTGCCTTGCCCGACGCCTTGTCTCTGGTGGACTTGAGGGCTGGTTTTCAGGCGATGGTGGTATAGTGGTAAGCATAGCTGCCTTCCAAGCAGTTGACCCGGGTTCGATTCCCGGCCATCGCAATAGACTTCAATGAATAACTGGCCGGTCAGGAAGTCAGGCATCTTTTCAACTTGGTGGTCGTGGTTTCGTTTTGTTGACGTCTAGAATGGCGACTTTGGCATCCCCTGCTTCTCTTTCAGAGTAAAAGACATTCGGATGCCAGGATTACATAGTGGCTCCCCATAATAATGCAACACAAAAGTCTTTGTGGTGAAACGTGGCATACTTCTGGGCTCTTGACTTTCCATCTCCCTTGCTGTGCGATCCTGCGGGACCTTAAACTCACAATTTCCTTCACAAGGGGTGTCCCTGTGACCTTCTGTTTGGTTGGCAGACTCCAAGTGCGCACTGCTGTCAGTGGGGGAGGGGCATTTAGCAGAGGGTGGGCGGTTGTCGTGGCCGAGTGGTCAAGGCGATGGACTTGAAATCCATTGGGGTCTCCCCGCGCAGGTTCGAATCCTGCCGGCAACGTTGTCTTTGTCTTGTGAACATCAGACTGTCCAAGTTGGATCGTGACAGGTTAAGTTGCTCAGATAAGCCTTGTGTTGCTGAGGACTGCACAGCCATTCACACCTCTCGCCGTGTGAACGGGATGAGTCCGCTAGTTGGCCTTTCACCGACTCAATTGAGGTAAATTTTTGTGTCAGCCAGACAGACAGACTGAGCACAGCACATATGTATTCTGTTTGGCTGTGGTCAATTGTCTACAGTATTGACAGCGCTGCTAATGAACAGTGGGAGAGTTTACGTACACTTCCCATTTGGAGCAGGCGTGCTTGTGGAGCAGTTCTGTGTTTCCTATGACTGTGCAGTCTGCAGGGGGGATGTAGCTCAGTGGTAGAGCGCATGCTTTGCATGTATGAGGTCCCGGGTTCAATCCCCGGCATCTCCACATGTGTTGGGGCTCAGCCTTCATACAATTGAGTGCCCACGCAGGCAAGTAGCGACAACCAGAAAAAGAGATGCAGATGCAAAGAAGACAGTGGGTGTCTTGTTTCCTCAGGACGCATGTCTGTCATGACTGGCTGACTGAAATGGACTTCAAGCTGTTTGTCGTGCCTCATACTCCTCCTCCTACCAATACCTGATTCTTTGAAGAAAAGGGATTTTTGCTCAAACCAAACGTCCCCCTCGAGGGCCCAGACTTGGTGTAAATGGAAAATTGCACATGGGAGGGGTTGTTGTGGCCGAGTGGTTAAGGCGATGGACTAGAAATCCATTGGGGTCTCCCCGCGCAGGTTCGAATCCTGCCAACAACGGTCAGTTTTTTCTGCCTTCGGGAGCGGTGATGTAGGAATGTTAGTCAAAGACATGTTGGTATTAGTTGTAGCAGGACACAGCAGCCACCGCAGAGCCTGCATTTCTTCCCAGTGTGCCTTGCCCGACGCCTTGTCTCTGGTGGACTTGAGGGCTGGTTTTCAGGCGATGGTGGTATAGTGGTAAGCATAGCTGCCTTCCAAGCAGTTGACCCGGGTTCGATTCCCGGCCATCGCAATAGACTTCAATGAATAACTGGCCGGTCAGGAAGTCAGGCATCTTTTCAACTTGGTGGTCGTGGTTTCGTTGTGTTGACGTCTAGAATGGCGACTTTGGCATCCCCTGCTTCTCTTTCAGAGTAAAAGACATTCGGATGCCAGGATTACATAGTGGCTCCCCATAATAATGCAACACAAAAGTCTTTGTGGTGAAACGTGGCATACTTCTGGGCTCTTGACTTTCCATCTCCCTTGCTGTGCGATCCTGCGGGACCTTAAACTCACAATTTCCTTCACAAGGGGTGTCCCTGTGACCTTCTGTTTGGTTGGCAGACTCCAAGTGCGCACTGCTGTCAGTGGGGGAGGGGCATTTAGCAGAGGGTGGGGGGTTGTCGTGGCCGAGTGGTCAAGGCGATGGACTTGAAATCCATTGGGGTCTCCCCGCGCAGGTTCGAATCCTGCCGGCAACGTTGTCTTTGTCTTGTGAACATCAGACTGTCCAAGTTGGATCGTGACAGGTTAAGTTGCTCAGATAAGTCTTGTGTTGCTGAGGACTGCACAGCCATTCACACCTCTCGCCGTGTGAACGGGATGAGTCCGCTAGTTGGCCTTTCACCGACTCAATTGAGGTAAATTTTTGTGTCAGCCAGACAGACAGACTGAGCACAGCACATATGTATTCTGTTTGGCTGTGGTCAATTGTCTACGGTATTGACAGCGCTGCTAATGAACAGTGGGAGAGTTTACGTATACATCCCATTTGGAGCAGGCGTGCTTGTGGAGCAGTTCTGTGTTTCCTATGACTGTGCAGTCTGCAGGGGGGATGTAGCTCAGTGGTAGAGCGCATGCTTTGCATGTATGAGGTCCCGGGTTCAATCCCCGGCATCTCCACATGTGTTGGGGCTCAGCCTTCATACAATTGAGTGCCCACGCAGGCAAGTAGCGACAACCAGAAAAAGAGATGCAGATGCAAAGAAGACAGTGGGTGTCTTGTTTCCTCAGGACGCATGTCTGTCATGCCTGGCTGACTGAAATGGACTTCAAGCTGTTTGTCGTGCCTCATACTCCTCCTCCTACCAATACCTGATTCTTTGAAGAAAAGGGATTTTTGCTCAAACCAAACGTCCCCCTCGAGGGCCCAGACTTGGTGTAAATGGAAAATTGCACATGGGAGTGGTTGTTGTGGCCGAGTGGTTAAGGCGATGGACTAGAAATCCATTGGGGTCTCCCCGCGCAGGTTCGAATCCTGCCAACAACGGTCAGTTTTTTCTGCCTTCGGGAGCGGTGATGTAGGAATGTTAGTCAAAGACATGTTGGTATTAGTTGTAGCAGGACACAGCAGCCACCGCAGAGCCTGCATTTCTTCCCAGTGTGCCTTGCCCGACGCCTTGTCTCTGGTGGACTTGAGGGCTGGTTTTCAGGCGATGGTGGTATAGTGGTAAGCATAGCTGCCTTCCAAGCAGTTGACCCGGGTTCGATTCCCGGCCATCGCAATAGACTTCAATGAATAACTGTCCGGTCAGGAAGTCAGGCATCTTTTCAACTTGGTGGTCGTGGTTTCGTTGTGTTGACGTCTAGAATGGCGACTTTGGCATCCCCTGCTTCTCTTTCAGAGTAAAAGACATTCGGATGCCAGGATTACATAGTGGCTCCCCATAATAATGCAACACAAAAGTCTTTGTGGTGAAACGTGGCATACTTCTGGGCTCTTGACTTTCCATCTCCCTTGCTGTGCGATCCTGCGGGACCTTAAACTCACAATTTCCTTCACAAGGGGTGTCCCTGTGACCTTCTGTTTGGTTGGCAGACTCCAAGTGCGCACTGCTGTCAGTGGGGGAGGGGCATTTAGCAGAGGGTGGGGGGTTGTCGTGGCCGAGTGGTCAAGGCGATGGACTTGAAATCCATTGGGGTCTCCCCGCGCTTCGAATCCTGCCGGCAACGTTGTCTTTGTCTTGTGAACATCAGACTGTCCAAGTTGGATCGTGACAGGTTAAGTTGCTCAGATAAGTCTTGTGTTGCTGAGGACTGCACAGCCATTCACACCTCTCGCCGTGTGAACGGGATGAGTCCGCTAGTTGGCCTTTCACCGACTCAATTGAGGTAAATTTTTGTGTCAGCCAGACAGACAGACTGAGCACAGCACATATGTATTCTGTTTGGCTGTGGTCAATTGTCTACGGTATTGACAGCGCTGCTAATGAACAGTGGGAGAGTTTACGTATACATCCCATTTGGAGCAGGCGTGCTTGTGGAGCAGTTCTGTGTTTCCTATGACTGTGCAGTCTGCAGGGGGGATGTAGCTCAGTGGTAGAGCGCATGCTTTGCATGTATGAGGTCCCGGGTTCAATCCCCGGCATCTCCACATGTGTTGGGGCTCAGCCTTCATACAATTGAGTGCCCACGCAGGCAAGTAGCGACAACCAGAAAAAGAGATGCAGATGCAAAGAAGACAGTGTGTGTCTTGTTTCCTCAGGACGCATGTCTGTCATGCCTGGCTGACTGAAATGGACTTCAAGCTGTTTGTCGTGCCTCAGACTCCTCCTCCTACCAATACCTGATTCTTTGAAGAAAAGGGATTTTTGCTCAAACCAAACGTCCCCCTCGAGGGCCCAGACTTGGTGTAAATGGAAAATTGCACATGGGAGGGGTTGTTGTGGCCGAGTGGTTAAGGCGATGGACTAGAAATCCATTGGGGTCTCCCCGCGCAGGTTCGAATCCTGCCAACAACGGTCAGTTTTTTCTGCTTTCGGGAGCGGTGATGTAGGAATGTTAGTCAAAGACATGTTGGTATTAGTTGTAGCAGGACACAGCAGCCACCGCAGAGCCTGCATTTCTTCCCAGTGCGCCCTGCCCGACGCCTTGTCTCTGGTGGACTTGAGGGCTGGTTTTCAGGCGATGGTGGTATAGTGGTAAGCATAGCTGCCTTCCAAGCAGTTGACCCGGGTTCGATTCCCGGCCATCGCAATAGACTTCAATGAATAACTGGCCGGTCAGGAAGTCAGGCATCTTTTCAACTTGGTGGTCGTGGTTTCGTTTTGTTGACGTCTAGAATGGCGATTTTGGCATCCCCTGCTTCTCTTTCAGAGTAAAAGACATTCGGATGCCAGGATTACATAGACGCTCCCCATAATAATGCAACACAAAAGTCTTTGTGGTGAAACGTGGCATACTTCTGGGCTCTTGACTTTCCATCTCCCTTGCTGTGCGATCCTGCGGGACCTTAAACTCACAATTTCCTTCACAAGGGGTGTCCCTGTGACCTTCTGTTTGGTTGGCAGACTCCAAGTGCGCACTGCTGTCAGTGGGGGAGGGGCATTTAGCAGAGGGTGGGGGGTTGTCGTGGCCGAGTGGTCAAGGCGATGGACTTGAAATCCATTGGGGTCTCCCCGCGCAGGTTCGAATCCTGCCGGCAACGTTGTCTTTGTCTTGTGAACATCAGACTGTCCAAGTTGGATCGTGACAGGTTAAGTTGCTCAGATAAGCCTTGTGTTGCTGAGGACTGCACAGCCATTCACACCTCTCGCCGTGTGAACGGGATGAGTCCGCTAGTTGGCCTTTCACCGACTCAATTGAGGTAAATTTTTGTGTCAGCCAGACAGACAGACTGAGCACCGCACATATGTATTCTGTTTGGCTGTGGTCAATTGTCTACGGTATTGACAGCGCTGCTAATGAACAGTGGGAGAGTTTACGTATACATCCCATTTGGAGCAGGCGTGCTTGTGGAGCAGTTCTGTGTTTCCTATGACTGTGCAGTCTGCAGGGGGATGTAGCTCAGTGGTAGAGCGCATGCTTTGCATGTATGAGGTCCCGGGTTCAATCCCCGACATCTCCACATGTGTTGGGGCTCAGCCTTCATACAATTGAGTGCCCACGCAGGCAAGTAGCGACAACCAGAAAAAGAGATGCAGATGCAAAGAAGACAGTGGGTGTCTTGTTTCCTCAGGACGCATGTCTGTCATGCCTGGCTGACTGAAATGGACTTCAAGCTATTTGTCGTGCCTCAGACTCCTCCTCCTACCAATACCTGATTCTTTGAAGAAAAGGGATTTTTGCTCAAACCAAACGTCCCCCTCGAGGGCCCAGACTTGGTGTAAATGGAAAATTGCACATGGGAGGGGTTGTTGTGGCCGAGTGGTTAAGGCGATGGACTAGAAATCCATTGGGGTCTCCCCGCGCAGGTTCGAATCCTGCCAACAACGGTCAGTTTTTTCTGCCTTCGGGAGCGGTGATGTAGGAATGTTAGTCAAAGACATGTTGGTATTAGTTGTAGCAGGACACAGCAGCCACCGCAGAGCCTGCATTTCTTCCCAGTGTGCCCTGCCCGACGCCTTGTCTCTGGTGGACTTGAGGGCTGGTTTTCAGGCGATGGTGGTATAGTGGTAAGCATAGCTGCCTTCCAAGCAGTTGACCCGGGTTCGATTCCCGGCCATCGCAATAGACTTCAATGAATAACTGGCCGGTCAGGAAGTCAGGCATCTTTTCAACTTGGTGGTCGTGGTTTCGTTTTGTTGACGTCTAGAATGGCGACTTTGGCATCCCCTGCTTCTCTTTCAGAGTAAAAGACATTCGGATGCCAGGATTACATAGTGGCTCCCCATAATAATGCAACACAAAAGTCTTTGTGGTGAAACGTGGCATACTTCTGGGCTCTTGACTTTCCATCTCCCTTGCTGTGCGATCCTGCGGGACCTTAAACTCACAATTTCCTTCACAAGGGGTGTCCCTGTGACCTTCTGTTTGGTTGGCAGACTCCAAGTGCGCACTGCTGTCAGTGGGGGAGGGGCATTTAGCAGAGGGTGGGGGGTTGTCGTGGCCGAGTGGTCAAGGCGATGGACTTGAAATCCATTGGGGTCTCCCCGCGCAGGTTCGAATCCTGCCGGCAACGTTGTCTTTGTCTTGTGAACATCAGACTGTCCAAGTTGGATCGTGACAGGTTAAGTTGCTCAGATAAGCCTTGTGTTGCTGAGGACTGCACAGCCATTCACACCTCTCGCCGTGTGAACGGGATGAGTCCGCTAGTTGGCCTTTCACCGACTCAATTGAGGTAAATTTTTGTGTCAGCCAGACAGACAGACTGAGCACCGCACATATGTATTCTGTTTGGCTGTGGTCAATTGTCTACGGTATTGACAGCGCTGCTAATGAACAGTGGGAGAGTTTACGTATACATCCCATTTGGAGCAGGCGTGCTTGTGGAGCAGTTCTGTGTTTCCTATGACTGTGCAGTCTGCAGGGGGGATGTAGCTCAGTGGTAGAGCGCATGCTTTGCATGTATGATGTCCCGGGTTCAATCCCCGACATCTCCACATGTGTTGGGGCTCAGCCTTCATACAATTGAGTGCCCACGCAGGCAAGTAGCGACAACCAGAAAAAGAGATGCAGATGCAAAGAAGACAGTGGGTGTCTTGTTTCCTCAGGACGCATGTCTGTCATGCCTGGCTGACTGAAATGGACTTCAAGCTATTTGTCGTCCCTCAGACTCCTCCTCCTACCAATACCTGATTCTTTGAAGAAAAGGGATTTTTGCTCAAACCAAACGTCCCCCTCGAGGGCCCAGACTTGGTGTAAATGGAAAATTGCACATGGGAGGGGTTGTTGTGGCCGAGTGGTTAAGGCGATGGACTAGAAATCCATTGGGGTCTCCCCGCGCAGGTTCGAATCCTGCCAACAACGGTCAGTTTTTTCTGCCTTCGGGAGCGGTGATGTAGGAATGTTAGTCAAAGACATGTTGGTATTAGTTGTAGCAGGACACAGCAGCCACCGCAGAGCCTGCATTTCTTCCCAGTGTGCCTTGCCCGACGCCTTGTCTCTGGTGGACTTGAGGGCTGGTTTTCAGGCGATGGTGGTATAGTGGTAAGCATAGCTGCCTTCCAAGCAGTTGACCCGGGTTCGATTCCCGGCCATCGCAATAGACTTCAATGAATAACTGGCCGGTCAGGAAGTCAGGCATCTTTTCAACTTGGTGGTCGTGGTTTCGTTTTGTTGACGTCTAGAATGGCGATTTTGGCATCCCCTGCTTCTCTTTCAGAGTGAAAGACATTCGGATGCCAGGATTACATAGTGGCTCCCCATAATAATGCAACACAAAAGTCTTTGTGGTGAAACGTGGCATACTTCTGGGCTCTTGACTTTCCATCTCCCTTGCTGTGCGATCCTGCGGGACCTTAAACTCACAATTTCCTTCACAAGGGGTGTCCCTGTGACCTTCTGTTTGGTTGGCAGACTCCAAGTGCGCACTGCTGTCAGTGGGGGAGGGGCATTTAGCAGAGGGTGGGGGGTTGTCGTGGCCGAGTGGTCAAGGCGATGGACTTGAAATCCATTGGGGTCTCCCCGCGCAGGTTCGAATCCTGCCGGCAACGTTGTCTTTGTCTTGTGAACATCAGACTGTCCAAGTTGGATCGTGACAGGTTAAGTTGCTCAGATAAGCCTTGTGTTGCTGAGGACTGCACAGCCATTCACACCTCTCGCCGTGTGAACGGGATGAGTCCGCTAGTTGGCCTTTCACCGACTCAATTGAGGTACATTTTTGTGTCAGCCAGACAGACAGACTGAGCACCGCACATATGTATTCTGTTTGGCTGTGGTAAATTGTCTACGGTATTGACAGCGCTGCTAATGAACAGTGGGAGAGTTTACGTATACATCCCATTTGGAGCAGGCGTGCTTGTGGAGCAGTTCTGTGTTTCCTATGACTGTGCAGTCTGCAGGGGGGATGTAGCTCAGTGTTAGAGCGCATGCTTTGCATGTATGAGGTCCCGGGTTCAATCCCCGGCATCTCCACGTGTGTTGGGGCTCAGCCTTCATACAATTGAGTGCCCACGCAGGCAAGTAGCGACAACCAGAAAAAGAGATGCAGATGCAAAGAAGACAGTGGGTGTCTTGTTTCCTCAGGACGCATGTCTGTCATGCCTTGCTGACTGAAATGGACTTCAAGCTATTTGTCGTGCCTCAGACTCAGACTCCTCCTCCTACCAATACCTGATTCTTTGAAGAAAAGGGATTTTTGCTCAAACCAAACGTCCCCCTCGAGGGCCCAGACTTGGTGTAAATGGAAATTTGCACATGGGAGGGGTTGTTGTGGCCGAGTGGTTAAGGCGATGGACTAGAAATCCATTGGGGTCTCCCCGCGCAGGTTCGAATCCTGCCAACAACGGTCAGTTTTTTCTGCCTTCGGGAGCGGTGATGTAGGAATGTTAATCAAAGACATGTTGGTATTAGTTGTAGCAGGACACAGCAGCCACCGCAGAGCCTGCATTTCTTCCCAGTGTGCCTTGCCCGACGCCTTGTCTCTGGTGGACTTGAGGGCTGGTTTTCAGGCGATGGTGGTATAGTGGTAAGCATAGCTGCCTTCCAAGCAGTTGACCCGGGTTCGATTCCCGGCCATCGCAATAGACTTCAATGAATAACTGGCCGGTCAGGAAGTCAGGCATCTTTTCAACTTGGTGGTCGATGTTTCGTTTTGTTGACGTCTAGAATGGCGATTTTGGCATCCCCTGCTTCTCTTTCAGAGTAAAAGACATTCGGATGCCAGGATTACATAGTGGCTCCCCATAATAATGCAACACAAAAGTCTTTGTGGTACTTCTGGGCTCTTGACTTTCCATCTCCCTTGCTGTGCGATCCTGCGGGACCTTAAACTCACAATTTCCTTCACAAGGGGTGTCCCTGTGACCTTCTGTTTGGTTGGCAGACTCCAAGTGCGCACTGCTGTCAGTGGGGGAGGGGCATTTAGCAGAGGGTGGGGGGTTGTCGTGGCCGAGTGGTCAAGGCGATGGACTTGAAATCCATTGGGGTCTCCCCGCGCAGGTTCGAATCCTGCCGGCAACGTTGTCTTTGTCTTGTGAACATCAGACTGTCCAAGTTGGATCGTGACAGGTTAAGTTGCTCAGATAAGCCTTGTGTTGCTGAGGACTGCACAGCCATTCACACCTCTCGCCGTGTGAACGGGATGAGTCCGCTAGTTGGCCTTTCACCGACTCAATTGAGGTAAATTTTTGTGTCAGCCAGACAGACAGACTGAGCACCGCACATATGTATTCTGTTTGGCTGTGGTCAATTGTCTACGGTATTGACAGCGCTGCTAATGAACAGTGGGAGAGTTTACGTATACATCCCATTTGGAGCAGGCGTGCTTGTGGAGCAGTTCTGTGTTTCCTATGACTGTGCAGTCTGCAGGGGGGATGTAGCTCAGTGGTAGAGCGCATGCTTTGCATGTATGAGGTCCCGGGTTCAATCCCCGGCATCTCCACATGTGTTGGGGCTCAGCCTTCATACAATTGAGTGCCCACGCAGGCAAGTAGCGACAACCAGAAAAAGAGATGCAGATGCAAAGAAGACAGTGGGTGTCTTGTTTCCTCAGGACGCATGTCTGTCATGCCTGGCTGACTGAAATGGACTTCAAGCTATTTGTCGTGCCTCAGACTCCTCCTCCTACCAATACCTGATTCTTTGAAGAAAAGGGATTTTTCCTCAAACCAAACGTCCCCCTCGAGGGCCCAGACTTGGTGTAAATGGAAAATTGCACATGGGAGGGGTTGTTGTGGCCGACTGGTTAAGGCGATGGACTAGAAATCCATTGGGGTCTCCCCGCGCACGTTCGAATCCTGCCAACAACGGTCAGTTTTTTCTGCCTTCGGGAGCGGTGATGTAGGAATGTTAGTCAAAGACATGTTGGTATTAGTTGTAGCAGGACACAGCAGCCACCGCAGAGCCTGCATTTCTTCCCAGTGTGCCCTGCCCGACGCCTTGTCTCTGGTGGACTTGAGGGCTGGTTTCCAGGCGATGGTGGTATAGTGGTAAGCATAGCTGCCTTCCAAGCAGTTGACCCGGGTTCGATTCCCGGCCATCGCAATAGACTTCAATGAATAACTGGCCGGTCAGGAAGTCAGGCATCTTTTCAACTTGGTGGTCGTGGTTTCGTTTTGTTGACGTCTAGAATGGCGACTTTGGCATCCCCTGCTTCTCTTTCAGAGTAAAAGACATTCGGTTGCCAGGATTACATAGTGGCTCCCCATAATAATGCAACACAAAAGTCTTTGTGGTGAAACGTGGCATACTTCTGGGCTCTTGACTTTCCATCTCCCTTGCTGTGCGATCCTGCGGGACCTTAAACTCACAATTTCCTTCACAAGGGGTGTCCCTGTGACCTTCTGTTTGGTTGGCAGACTCCAAGTGCGCACTGCTGTCAGTGGGGGCGGGGCATTTCGCAGAGGGTCGGGGGGTTGTCGTGGCCGAGTGGTCAAGGCGATGGACTTGAAATCCATTGGGGTCTCCCCGCGCAGGTTCGAATCCTGCCGGCAACGTTGTCTTTGTCTTGTGAACATCAGACTGTCCAAGTTGGATCGTGACAGGTTAAGTTGCTCAGATAAGCCTTGTGTTGCTGAGGACTGCACAGCCATTCACACCCTCTCGCCGTGTGAACGGGATGAGTCCGCTAGTTGGCCTTTCACCGACTCAATTGAGGTAAATTTTTGTGTCAGCCAGACAGACAGACTGAGCACCGCACATATGTATTCTGTTTGGCTGTGGTCAATTGTCTACGGTATTGACAGCGCTGCTAATGAACAGTGGGAGAGTTTACGTATACATCCCATTTGGAGCAGGCGTGCTTGTGGAGCAGTTCTGTGTTTCCTATGACTGTGCAGTCTGCAGGGGGATGTAGCTCAGTGGTAGAGCGCATGCTTTGCATGTATGAGGTCCCGGGTTCAATCCCCGACATCTCCACATGTGTTGGGGCTCAGCCTTCATACAATTGAGTGCCCACGCAGGCAAGTAGCGACAACCAGAAAAAGAGATGCAGATGCAAAGAAGACAGTGGGTGTCTTGTTTCCTCAGGACGCATGTCTGTCATGCCTGGCTGACTGAAATGGACTTCAAGCTATTTGTCGTGCCTCAGACTCCTCCTCCTACCAATACCTGATTCTTTGAAGAAAAGGGATTTTTGCTCAAACCAAACGTCCCCCTCGAGGGCCCAGACTTGGTGTAAATGGAAAATTGCACATGGGAGGGGTTGTTGTGGCCGAGTGGTTAAGGCGATGGACTAGAAATCCATTGGGGTCTCCCCGCGCAGGTTCGAATCCTGCCAACAACGGTCAGTTTTTTCTGCCTTCGGGAGCGGTGATGTAGGAATGTTAGTCAAAGACATGTTGGTATTAGTTGTAGCAGGACACAGCAGCCACCGCAGAGCCTGCATTTCTTCCCAGTGTGCCCTGCCCGACGCCTTGTCTCTGGTGGACTTGAGGGCTGGTTTTCAGGCGATGGTGGTATAGTGGTAAGCATAGCTGCCTTCCAAGCAGTTGACCCGGGTTCGATTCCCGGCCATCGCAATAGACTTCAATGAATAACTGGCCGGTCAGGAAGTCAGGCATCTTTTCAACTTGGTGGTCGTGGTTTCGTTTTGTTGACGTCTAGAATGGCGACTTTGGCATCCCCTGCTTCTCTTTCAGAGTAAAAGACATTCGGATGCCAGGATTACATAGTGGCTCCCCATAATAATGCAACACAAAAGTCTTTGTGGTGAAACGTGGCATACTTCTGGGCTCTTGACTTTCCATCTCCCTTGCTGTGCGATCCTGCGGGACCTTAAACTCACAATTTCCTTCACAAGGGGTGTCCCTGTGACCTTCTGTTTGGTTGGCAGACTCCAAGTGCGCACTGCTGTCAGTGGGGGAGGGGCATTTAGCAGAGGGTGGGGGGTTGTCGTGGCCGAGTGGTCAAGGCGATGGACTTGAAATCCATTGGGGTCTCCCCGCGCAGGTTCGAATCCTGCCGGCAACGTTGTCTTTGTCTTGTGAACATCAGACTGTCCAAGTTGGATCGTGACAGGTTAAGTTGCTCAGATAAGCCTTGTGTTGCTGAGGACTGCACAGCCATTCACACCTCTCGCCGTGTGAACGGGATGAGTCCGCTAGTTGGCCTTTCACCGACTCAATTGAGGTAAATTTTTGTGTCAGCCAGACAGACAGACTGAGCACCGCACATATGTATTCTGTTTGGCTGTGGTCAATTGTCTACGGTATTGACAGCGCTGCTAATGAACAGTGGGAGAGTTTACGTACACTTCCCATTTGGAGCAGGCGTGCTTGTGGAGCAGTTCTGTGTTTCCTATGACTGTGCAGTCTGCAGGGGGGATGTAGCTCAGTGGTAGAGCGCATGCTTTGCATGTATGAGGTCCCGGGTTCAATCCCCGGCATCTCCACATGTGTTGGGGCTCAGCCTTCATACAATTGAGTGCCCACGCAGGCAAGTAGCGACAACCAGAAAAAGAGATGCAGATGCAAAGAAGACAGTGGGTGTCTTGTTTCCTCAGGACGCATGTCTGTCATGCCTGGCTGACTGAAATGGACTTCAAGCTATTTGTCGTGCCTCAGACTCCTCCTCCTACCAATACCTGATTCTTTGAAGAAAAGGGATTTTTGCTCAAACCAAACGCCCCCTCGAGGGCCCAGACTTGGTGTAAATGGAAAATTGCACATGGGAGGGGTTGTTGTGGCCGAGTGGTTAAGGCGATGGACTAGAAATCCATTGGGGTCTCCCCGCGCAGGTTCGAATCCTGCCAACAACGGTCAGTTTTTTCTGCCTTCGGGAGCGGTGATGTAGGAATGTTAGTCAAAGACATGTTGGTATTAGTTGTAGCAGGACACAGCAGCCACCGCAGAGCCTGCATTTCTTCCCAGTGTGCCCTGCCCGACGCCTTGTCTCTGGTGGACTTGAGGGCTGGTTTTCAGGCGATGGTGGTATAGTGGTAAGCATAGCTGCCTTCCAAGCAGTTGACCCGGGTTCGATTCCCGGCCATCGCAATAGACTTCAATGAATAACTGGCCGGTCAGGAAGTCAGGCATCTTTTCAACTTGGTGGTCGTGGTTTCGTTTTGTTGACGTCTAGAATGGCGACTTTGGCATCCCCTGCTTCTCTTTCAGAGTAAAAGACATTCGGATGCCAGGATTACATAGTGGCTCCCCATAATAATGCAACACAAAAGTCTTTGTGGTGAAACGTGGCATACTTCTGGGCTCTTGACTTTCCATCTCCCTTGCTGTGCGATCCTGCGGGACCTTAAACTCACAATTTCCTTCACAAGGGGTGTCCCTGTGACCTTCTGTTTGGTTGGCAGACTCCAAGTGCGCACTGCTGTCAGTGGGGGAGGGGCATTTAGCAGAGGGTGGGGGGTTGTCGTGGCCGAGTGGTCAAGGCGATGGACTTGAAATCCATTGGGGTCTCCCCGCGCAGGTTCGAATCCTGCCGGCAACGTTGTCTTTGTCTTGTGAACATCAGACTGTCCAAGTTGGATCGTGACAGGTTAAGTTGCTCAGATAAGCCTTGTGTTGCTGAGGACTGCACAGCCATTCACACCTCTCGCCGTGTGAACGGGATGAGTCCGCTCGTTGGCCTTTCACCGACTCAATTGAGGTAAATTTTTGTGTCAGCCAGACAGACAGACTGAGCACCGCACATATGTATTCTGTTTGGCTGTGGTCAATTGTCTACGGTATTGACAGCGCTGCTAATGAACAGTGGGAGAGTTTACGTACACATCCCATTTGGAGCAGGCGTGCTTGTGGAGCAGTTCTGTGTTTCCTATGACTGTGCAGTCTGCAGGGGGGATGTAGCTCAGTGGTAGAGCGCATGCTTTGCATGTATGAGGTCCCGGGTTCAATCCCCGGCATCCCCACATGTGTTGGGGCTCAGCCCCTCGAGGGCCCAGACTTGGTGTAAATGGAAAATTGCACATGGGAGGGGTTGTTGTGGCCGTACCCGCCAGTGGCTGGACGGCATGCAAGGTCCGAACACATCCTAACGTTTTCCTAACAAGGTCCGAACTAGGTCCGACGACTTCAAAGGGTTTCAAGCGAGGTCCGAACTAAGCTCCGAACAAGACCGAACAGTGTCACGTGATATAGGAGGGGGTGGAATTATCTCTTTCAAACGACGGCCATGTATTTCCCCGCTAAGCAGCCACATACGGAGCACCGCTGTTAAAGGTTGGAAATTGTGTTAAATGTTCACAAAATCAAGGTCATGTGTGGGACGAATATTAAACAGTGTGACAAAACAGTATACGATTTAACTTCCCGTCCCATTGCCACTTAATACAACTTATATTTTAACTTTCTCGTTAAGTAGCCATTTTTGAACGGAGCTTCTGCCTGTAATGGCATTGCTGCACTTGCTAGCTCTGGGTGGTAATGTTGCGGATATTGGTGGTATGACAGAAGCACAAGACCAATAGTAGCTTATTTATTTCTTTATTGGCTGTATAAACCCCGCCGATCTTTCGGGGAAAGCCTTACGATGTGAAATAATTGTACCAGGTTTCATTGTCCGTCTGTAAAATAATAATATATCGGCTATATTGACGTTTTCGCCACTCGGGTAATGGAGCCTGGTTATGTGTTTGAGCAGAGCAGACAGAAGTGCTCAGATGTTTTAAATATGCTTAATTGGGCACAACAACAATGCAAAACATGCTTTCATACGTACATACATCATGTAGCTACATTAACCTATTTTCTTTAATGTTTGTAGATGACTAAAACAGGAAAACCAGATGCCTACTGGAGGGATATTTGTGCAAAATATGCCCAGGGCCAGTACCACTTTTCGACCGGCAAACGACCAGGGGCCAAGAAGTGGAAAAAGACCCTGGAGAATATAGATGCGTGTCCCCAGGTGGTGTTGGAGGGTGACCCTAAACCCAGTCCCTTCGACACAAAGGTCAATAACACTTTCTTCAACACCTTATTCAAAAACACAGTATTTCAATTAATTACATCTGGTTACATTTTGATAAGATAAATGAATATGAAATCCGCATTGCTCACGTAACAAAAAATATAAATCTTTTGCTTTGTGTTTTCTTTATTCCCTTATCCCTTTTCAGACCAGCCAATGTGACTCGAGAGGCGTTGCGGGATGGGAGGCAGTTGATGCCCTAGCAGCCTACCTAGTTGACTTAAATCGAACAACCACAGCCTTGTCAGTCAAGGAAGAGGCAGAAATAGTCCACCTTTACACAGCTCTTCATGCCATGGACAAGGCACCTTCAAAGTACAAATTAGTAATTAATTTATACACCATAATTAAACAAACATTCCATGGAATGAATGAAGCACATTGATGCCTCTTTTTGTTGTTTAGGTACACCCAGAAGGTTAAGAAAAGAGGGCATGCGTCAGGAGGACCGTGGAGAGCATCCAGGAAGCCCAGTGGCTCTGCTCCTGGACAGCAGGCGGCAGAGAGGTGTTTAACTACAATTTTCTTTCAGCTTTGTTCAATACAAATCATTGAATAAAAGAGAGCACATTTTATTACAATCCCTGTTGACACTGTCACCTGGTTCTTCATGACACTACATCCTTGTTCACAGTCCAGATCACATCATCTTTCTCTCCCACAGACTATACATGACTCACGGCCAAGCAGCCCAGGACCCTGAATCACACAGGGTCAGTGAGTGTGTTTGCCTCAGACTTGCCAAAGAGTTTGTGCAAGCACGCAACAGGCCCAAGGACACAAATGGAAAAATCATGCCAGTCCCTCAATCCATTGTCAGCGTCTATGGCCACATCAAACAGCTGCTGGAGGACAGCAGGGTTGTCCTGAACCAGACCAACTTGGCTCTGGTGCCAGTTAACAACACTACTGTCTCCTTATGGTGTGTATTATTTCATTTAACTTTCCCATACTGTCAAGACAGTATATAAAGATTTTACAGAAATAAACACCTCCACCTGCATTTAGGTATAAGTATAAAATAGTGAATGTTTGTCTTGTAGGCTACTTAGGAGGGATAAAAGGAAGGACAGGGACATGCTCCTGCAAGGGACTGTCCTCCCCAAACAGCTGCACCTGGCCAAGGAGTCTCTCCCTGCAGTGAACACACTTCCGGCTGCACCTGCACAACATGCACATGAAGTGATGACATTTGAGGAGCCACAAAACCGTGAGGGGGAAGCATTCCCCCGTCAGCACACTGTTGTGGCAAACAGGCCTGTGTTTTGTCCACCGTTTCCACCTCCCCTGTTCCCTCCACAATTCCAGCACCCTCCCCAATTCTACCATCAAGCTCTGCCGTTCCAGCCTGCTGTGCCTTTCCAGCCTGTTGGGCCTTTCCAGCCTGTTGTGCCACTCCAGCCTGCTGTGCCGCTCCAGCCAGCTGTGCCATCGCAGGAAGCTCCTACGCCGCAGTTAGCATGCCTTCTGCCTCAGCGAAGGCAACGTGACTGGAGACACCGTAAAGCTGCCCAGGAAGATCAGGAGCGAGTGTCTCAAGGAGAACCACCAAAGAAAAGGCAGACAAAGGAAATCTACCACTACACTTGCAAAGAGTGTGGTAAGCAGAAAAATAAAAGCACTGGACACACCCAGCTGAGAGGGCGGTGGTACTGTCCAGCCTCAGGACTGACCCTGGAGCAATGGAAAAACTGTTTATAATGCCTTTTTTATCAGCTGTTACCACCACAAATCAGCAAATGCTGGTATTGGTATGGTCTGTCTCTCTTCCTGACATGTTCAGAAGTGTGTTTTTGTAATTTTTGTAATATATTCCAATGTAGTATTAAAGTTTAATTTGTTCGAGCAAAGAACAGCCTTTACATTGATTTATTTTCCTCTTAAAGAACAGAACGACACAGCAACCTTGCAATAATTGCAGAAGTGTGTGCAATACTGCCAACTATGGTAGGTTTTAGTAATATCCAAAGTGCTGTAGTAAATTGGAAAGTTGCTGCAGCATGGGTTCGAATCCTGCAAGAAACATACAGATTAAAGTGATGATAAAACTTGCAATAAGTGCAAAGGTGTGTGCAGGCAACGTTGAGAAGATATGACAGTAGAAGGAAAATGGATATAGTGTATGTTTTCCTCCTTTTTTCTCCTTTTTTCTCCCCTCTTCTCCCCCTATTTCCCTCCTCTTTCCCCCCCCCCCCCCTTCTACAGTCCCTTTTGCCCCATCTTTGGCCGAGTGGTTAAGGCGATGGACTAGAAATCCATTGGGGTCTCCCCGCGCAGGTTCGAATCCTGCCAACAACGGTCAGTTTTTTCTGCCTTCGGGAGCGGTGATGTAGGAATGTTAGTCAAAGACATGTTGGTATTAGTTGTAGCAGGACACAGCAGCCACCGCAGAGCCTGCATTTCTTCCCAGTGTGCCTTGCCCGACGCCTTGTCTCTGGTGGACTTGAGGGCTGGTTTTCAGGCGATGGTGGTATAGTGGTAAGCATAGCTGCCTTCCAAGCAGTTGACCCGGGTTCGATTCCCGGCCATCGCAATAGACTTCAATGAATAACTGGCCGGTCAGGAAGTCAGGCATCTTTTCAACTTGGTGGTCGTGGTTTCGTTTTGTTGACGTCTAGAATGGCGACTTTGGCATCCCCTGCTTCTCTTTCAGAGTAAAAGACATTCGGATGCCAGGATTACATAGTGGCTCCCCATAATAATGCAACACAAAAGTCTTTGTGGTGAAACGTGGCATACTTCTGGGCTCTTGACTTTCCATCTCCCTTGCTGTGCGATCCTGCGGGACCTTAAACTCACAATTTCCTTCACAAGGGGTGTCCCTGTGACCTTCTGTTTGGTTGGCAGACTCCAAGTGCGCACTGCTGTCAGTGGGGGAGGGGCATTTAGCAGAGGGTGGGGGGTTGTCGTGGCCGAGTGGTCAAGGCGATGGACTTGAAATCCATTGGGGTCTCCCCGCGCAGGTTCGAATCCTGCCGGCAACGTTGTCTTTGTCTTGTGAACATCAGACTGTCCAAGTTGGATCGTGACAGGTTAAGTTGCTCAGATAAGCCTTGTGTTGCTGAGGACTGCACAGCCATTCACACCTCTCGCCGTGTGAACGGGATGAGTCCGCTAGTTGGCCTTTCACCGACTCAATTGAGGTAAATTTTTGTGTCAGCCAGACAGACAGACTGAGCACAGCACATATGTATTCTGTTTGGCTGTGGTCAATTGTCTACGGTATTGACAGCGCTGCTAATGAACAGTGGGAGAGTTTACGTACACTTCCCATTTGGAGCAGGCGTGCTTGTGGAGCAGTTCTGTGTTCCCTATGACTGTGCAGTCTGCAGGGGGGATGTAGCTCAGTGGTAGAGCGCATGCTTTGCATGTATGAGGTCCCGGGTTCAATCCCCGGCATCTCCACATGTGTTGGGGCTCAGCCTTCATACAATTGAGTGCCCACGCAGGCAAGTAGCAACAACCAGAAAAAGAGATGCAGATGCAAAGAAGACAGTGGGTGTCTTGTTTCCTCAGGACGCATGTCTCTCATGCCTGGCTGACTGAAATGGACTTCAAGCTATTTGTCGTGCCTCAGACTCCTCCTCCTACCAATACCTGATTCTTTGAAGAAAAGGGATTTTTGCTCAAACCAAACGTCCCCCTCGAGGGCCCAGACTTGCCGTAAATGGAAAATTGCACATGGGAGGGGTTGTTGTGGCCGAGTGGTTAAGGCGATGGACTAGAAATCCATTGGGGTCTCCCCGCGCAGGTTCGAATCCTGCCAACAACGGTCAGTTTTTTCTGCCTTCGGGAGCGGTGATGTAGGAATGTTAGTCAAAGACATGTTGGTATTAGTTGTAGCAGGACACAGCAGCCACCGCAGAGCCTGCATTTCTTCCCAGTGTGCCTTGCTGCCCGACGCCTTGTCTCTGGTGGACTTGAGGGCTGGTTTTCAGGCGATGGTGGTATAGTGGTAAGCATAGCTGCCTTCCAAGCAGTTGACCCGGGTTCGATTCCCGGCCATCGCAATAGACTTCAATGAATAACTGGCCGGTCAGGAAGTCAGGCATCTTTTCAACTTGGTGGTCGTGGTTTCGTTTTGTTGACGTCTAGAATGGCGATTTTGGCATCCCCTGCTTCTCTTTCAGAGTAAAAGACATTCGGATGCCAGGATTACATAGTGGCTCCCCATAATAATGCAACACAAAAGTCTTTGTGGTGAAACGTGGCATACTTCTGGGCTCTTGACTTTCCATCTCCCTTGCTGTGCGATCCTGCGGGACCTTAAACTCACAATTTCCTTCACAAGGGGTGTCCCTGTGACCTTCTGTTTGGTTGGCAGACTCCAAGTGCGCACTGCTGTCAGTGGGGGAGGGGCATTTAGCAGAGGGTGGGGGGTTGTCGTGGCCGAGTGGTCAAGGCGATGGACTTGAAATCCATTGGGGTCTCCCCGCGCAGGTTCGAATCCTGCCGGCAACGTTGTCTTTGTCTTGTGAACATCAGACTGTCCAAGTTGGATCGTGACAGGTTAAGTTGCTCAGATAAGCCTTGTGTTGCTGAGGACTGCACAGCCATTCACACCTCTCGCCGTGTGAACGGGATGAGTCCGCTAGTTGGCCTTTCACCGACTCAATTGAGGTAAATTTTTGTGTCAGCCAGACAGACAGACTGAGCACAGCACATATGTATTCTGTTTGGCTGTGGTCAATTGTCTACGGTATTGACAGCGCTGCTAATGAACAGTGGGAGAGTTTACGTACACTTCCCATTTGGAGCAGGCGTGCTTGTGGAGCAGTTCTGTGTTTCCTATGACTGTGCAGTCTGCAGGGGGGGTGTAGCTCAGTGGTAGAGCGCATGCTTTCCATGTATGAGGTCCCGGGTTCAATCCCCGGCATCTCCACATGTGTTGGGGCTCAGCCTTCATACAATTGAGTGCCCACGCAGGCAAGTAGCGACAACCAGAAAAAGAGATGCAGATGCAAAGAAGACAGTGGGTGTCTTGTTTCCTCAGGACGCATGTCTGTCATGCCTGGCTGACTGAAATGGACTTCAATCTATTTGTCGTGCCTCAGACTCCTCCTCCTACCAATACCTGATTCTTTGAAGAAAAGGGATTTTTGCTCAAACCAAACGTCTCCCTCGAGGGCCCAGACTTGGTGTAAATGGAAAATTGCACATGGGAGGGGTTGTTGTGGCCGAGTGGTTAAGGCGATGGACTAGAAATCCATTGGGGTCTCCCCGCGCAGGTTTGAATCCTGCCAACAACGGTCAGTTTTTTCTGCCTTCGGGAGCGGTGATGTAGGAATGTTAGTCAAAGACATGTTGGTATTAGTTGTAGCAGGACACAGCAGCCACCGCAGAGCCTGCATTTCTTCCCAGTGTGCCTTGCCCGACGCCTTGTCTCTGGTGGACTTGAGGGCTGGTTTTCAGGCGATGGTGGTATAGTGGTAAGCATAGCTGCCTTCCAAGCAGTTGACCCGGGTTCGATTCCCGGCCATCGCAATAGACTTCAATGAATAACTGGCCGGTCAGGAAGTCAGGCATCTTTTCAACTTGGTGTTCGTGGTTTCGTTTTGTTGACGTCTAGAATGGCGATTTTGGCATCCCCTGCTTCTCTTTCAGAGTAAAAGACATTCGGATGCCAGGATTACATAGTGGCTCCCCATAATAATGCAACACAAAAGTCTTTGTGGTGAAACGTGGCATACTTCTGGGCTCTTGACTTTCCATCTCCCTTGCTGTGCGATCCTGCGGGACCTTAAACTCACAATTTCCTTCACAAGGGGTGTCCCTGTGACCTTCTGTTTGGTTGGCAGACTCCAAGTGCGCACTGCTGTCAGTGGGGGAGGGGCATTTAGCAGAGGGTGGGGGGTTGTCGTGGCCGAGTGGTCAAGGCGATGGACTTGAAATCCATTGGGGTCTCCCAGCGCAGGTTCGAATCCTGCCGGCAACGTTGTCTTTGTCTTGTGAACATCAGACTGTCCAAGTTGGATCGTGACAGGTTAAGTTGCTCAGATAAGCCTTGTGTTGCTGAGGACTGCACAGCCATTCACACCTCTCGCCGTGTGAACGGGATGAGTCCGCTAGTTGGCCTTTCACCGACTCAATTGAGGTAAATTTTTGTGTCAGCCAGACAGACAGACTGAGCACTGCACATATGTATTCTGTTTGGCTGTGGTCAATTGTCTACTGTATTGACAGCGCTGCTAATGAACAGTGGGAGAGTTTACGTACACATCCCATTTGGAGCAGGCGTGCTTGTGGAGCAGTTCTGTGTTTCCTATGACTGTGCAGTCTGCAGGGGGGATGTAGCTCAGTGGTAGAGCGCATGCTTTGCATGTATGAGGTCCCGGGTTCAATCCCCGGCATCTCCACATGTGTTGGGGCTCAGCCTTCATACAATTGAGTGCCCACGCAGGCAAGTAGCGACAACCAGAAAAAGAGATGCAGATGCAAAGAAGACAGTGGGTGTCTTGTTTCCTCAGGACGCATGTCTGTCATGCCTGGCTGACTGAAATGGACTTCAAGCTATTTGTAGTGCCTCAGACTCCTCCTCCTACCAATACCTGATTCTTTGAAGAAAAGGGATTTTTGCTCAAACCAAACGTCCCCCTCGAG